TCGCCAGCAACAAATCAAGACAGCCGCCGACATGAGAAGAGGCTCTTGGCGAACTTTTGAAGCAGGCGACCAAGTCCTCGTCCGGGGATCACGTCCGATAGATCCTGCATAGTTGGTGGGACGTGTTGTGAAGAAAGTAAGTGCATCAACCTACGTCGTGATAGTGCAAGATCAGCATCGGTATGTGCACGTGGATGATGTCCGTCCGAGACACTTCGAAGATTCGTCTGCACAGAGAAGAAATGTCGACACTCCGGCTGCAACACCACGAAGGGCGTCCGGTGGTTCTCGAGAGAACATGACAGAGCCTGCTGCCCTCGACATGGAGCCTGTTTCCGAGACAGCGGTACCGACCACACCAGTGCTTCGAAGTAGCATACGGCAACGTAGGCCACCGGAGAGGTATTCTTGTGTGAGTCAGCCAAAACATTGATGGGGAAGGAGGGTTGTGTTTGAGTATTGTTTCAATAAATAGCGCGAGGCGGCGGGCAAAGAAGTGAGCGCGCGCCTGGGATGTGCGAGACGAAACGAGGGCACGGGACATTAAAACCTTTTGGCTCTGGAAGCTACATCGGCTGCACCTCGTCCTGTCTAGGGTGCCTTCATGTGCGCTTTGCTTAGGGTGGAGACATCTGGCCATTTTGTCTCACACTTTTATTTTTATTTTTTTGTTCAGAAGCGCGTGAAAGAGCGTGTCCCTGCACGCGTTTGTGGCGCTGACTGTGCTATGGCGACATTTTGTTTTCGTCGATTTCTTTGTATTTTCCCCTTGAGCGCGACCTGTCGGCATCGGGTACTTCAAAGGGTGGCATCACCCTAAACAGAAGGACATTGAGGCACCCTAGTCCTGTCTCTTGTCGTAAGCACCGTGGTCGTAAGCCACAACAAATACCACTTGAGGGATTAGGTCCAGTCGATCGACGTGCGCATAGTCATGTTGGAACGCTGGTCTGAACAGTAAGCTCCTATCGTACAGTGACCAATGTGACTGTCGGTTGTCTCGTCCCCGAGAGCGATTGCGCTCTGGGGAAAGGGCAACAGTACGAAATCATGACGGAAAGTACGTATACTTACTGTGTGGAATTTTAGCATTAAAAAACAATAGTAGGTAAAATCGAAAAAAAAAAGCTACCCTTTATTTGGCTGTTTAAACATACTACGGTTCCTGGAGAAACTGCCCTCCAAGTGGCGCGCTGGGATGAGCGCTAGAAGTTTTCGAGCTCGCCACGGCGTAGCTCCGTACACTTAACACCTGCCGCAAGTCGCGGCTTTGACTGCATTCAAGTTGATCGAAAAGCGATTTCTCAGCCCGTGAAGCATCACTTCCAGCTGAGTGAATATCCGCTCTACAGAAATTAATTCAAGACGGCAATTGCAGCTTTGTGCGAACAACACAAATGGAAAAACAAACACTACAATAAAAATACAGGCTACGACGTGCCGTGCGGGGAAACAAACTCATGGCTTCGAACCGCACTGGAGCGGCTTGATTAATTGCTTTCAAATAATTACGGCGTGATCGAGCGTTTGTTTGCTTTTTAATAAGAGATTCATCCCCTGAGCCATTCCAAATACTCTCAGAGGTATGACATTGCTGGAAAAAATTCAACATGCTGGTAATATTTTTTATTGCTAATTCAGTCACCGAAAAATTCTGTGCGTTCAAAACGACCAGTATAAAAGACGGAAACGTGGAGCACGGGTGTAGTGTTCGGGCTAGTGTGGTGTGCCGCTGTATGGATGTCTGTATGTGCCATGTATGTGTATGTGCTCAATGTATGTTCACCTGATGCTTGTACTATGCGTAATGTGTGTATAGTAGAGGATTCTCATGCGCAATAGTGGCCTAAAAAATGAAATTACTTTTTGTAGAACATGAATTGGGTGGTACCTAGCGCCACCTAGCCTAGCAAATTGCAATTACTCTGCTTGACGCCGCCATCTGGTGGCAAGCGATTTAACCTTCTTTCACGCTACACGATAAACAGCGGCTTCGAGTTTGTTCTTTTGAGAGCGGCTTTTGGTTTCGCGGATTGGTTTGCCATTTCTCCGTGATGTGCGGTTGGTGAAAGAATTGCGACTCGAGGAACACCAAAGAAATAAGGGCAGAAAGGAAGACAAAGAATTTAACCTGGGGTATTTTGTCCCGGTTTGCTACTTTGTTTTGGGGGAGAGGGGTGTGAGGATTAAAAGAGAGAAGAAAGGAACACCAAAGGTAGGACGCAAAGTGTACGAAGTAACTGTGTATCGGTTGTCTCCGTTTAACATCGCAGTGCTGTCGACGAGAAGACCGAGTAACTGCTTTCGAAACGCAAGTTTCTGTACCTGTGGGGGGAATCTGGCTTCGGAAATAAACATGGTGCGCGGAAAGCTCTTGTTACGCTTTTATTTGCTGCTGCTCTCGTCCCGTACACGAGGCGTACCGTCCTTGTTAAGCCTCACTGAGCCCGATTTGCTGGATTCAGGGCCGCCATAATGAGATGCAGGCGACGGAGGAACTAGTTGCTCCCCTGCTTCAAGGACGAAAGTTTCTCTCTTTCTAAAGGAACATAGGTCACAAGACCGTTCCTCCCCTAAGGGAGGACTATCCATACCCTTTTTTCTAAGAGTGTGTAGTATCTTGCGAAGCGCATCGCGTATGACGTCACATTGATAGTGCGTCGCTTATCTCTATATAAGCGCTGGGAGCCGTATGCTCCGTGTTCTTTTGGTTACGCACTGGCGTGTTCTATAAACCGTCTACGTTGGTCGTCACTCTGGCTCTGCCTCGTCGCTCGCGGCTACAACATACTGGCGACGAAGAATGGGATAAAGGATTCCGCCGGGTTGCAAGAAGCCACTAGCGGCGGTCCCGGAGCAGGCTGCGAAGAGACTGGCAGGATGGCGACGATTGGAAGGTTCGACCAGTTCATCGAGGACGGCGACGAAGACTTCGAGTCCTACGTGGAGAGGTTCGAACACTTCCTGAAAGCCTCGAAGGTGAGCGACGACCTGACGGTGTCAGTGTTCATAACGGCAATAGGAAAGAAAACCTACAAAACTCTAAAAACTTTGCTGGAACCGGAAAAGTCGGAAAACAAGACATATGCACAGCTAGTGCTGACCCTGCGAGGGCACTACGTACCAAAGCCCTCTGTCATTGCAGAGCGGTTCAGATTTAACCGTCGCTTCCAGCAAGAAGGCGAAACGGTGGCAGCTTTCGCGGTAGAGCTGAAGCGGTTGGCGGCGTCCTGCGACTTTGGGGCGTTTCTGGACGAGGCTCTTCGGGACCGTTTCGTGGCCGGGCTCTGTGGCAGAGGAACTCAAGCTGAGTTGCTGAAGAAGAGCAAGTTAACGTTTAAAAACGCCTGCGATATCGCAAGGAGTATCGAGTTGGCCAGCCAGGAAAGCCGGGATTTGCAGCCCAGCGTGGGGAAAGAGACCGTCAGCGCTCTTCGCCACAAGCCAGACAGCGGGAAACGCCCACCGCGCCGGAGGGAGGTACCGGCTACAGTACCCGCAGGGGCAAGAGCGACGAAATCGCCGGACTGTTTCCGATGCGGTTCAGCGCATGAAGCGTATAGTTGCAAATTTCGCAAGTATCGTTGTCATTTTTGTAAACGTGTTGGACACTTAGCGAAAATGTGCAAGGATAAAAGCAGAGACGCTGCGAACGCAATAGCTAAGGACAGTGACGGGGGTGAACTGGTGTTGCACAATATCTACTCCAGTGAGGGCCGCACCGGACTTTACGAAATTTGTCTGAAAATTGAGCAGAGAAATGTCCGCATGCAGATTGACACGGGGGCATCCGTATCAATATTACCAGAGGCACTGTATAAAAAATACTGGCCCAGTCTACCGAAAGAGCCGTGCAGTCTAAAGCTAAACACTTACGGGGGTACTCCACTCTCGGTAACGGGGAAGCTAACCGTTTCGGTAGAGCACAACGGTCAGCGTAAGCAGCTCCCGTTAATTGTCGTGAAGACAAACGAGAATACCAACACTGTGCTGTTGGGACGTGACTGGCTGGCGGCCCTTAAGTTGGACTGGTCTAGTGTGCATGGGGTTTGCTTGGACAAGGTAACGGCGTTGCTTGAAAAGTACGCTAAGCTTTTTGAGCCTACCCTTGGCCTAATCAAGAACAGCGCAATTAAATTAGTGCTTAAAGAGGGTAGTACACCAGTCTTTTGTAAAGCGCGTTCGGTTCCATTTGCGGTTCGGGAAGCAGTGTCGTCCGAATTGCAGAATCTCGTAAAAACAGGGGTGTTAGTACCTGTTCAGAAAAGTGAATGGGCGACTCCACTAGTAGTCGTGCCTAAACCGAACAACCAGGTCAGAGTGTGTGGTGACTTCAAAGTGACGCTAAACCCATGCCTTAGAACGGATCATTACCCCCTTCCCGTCATGGACGATCTGTTTGCAAAAATGGCCGGGTGCAAATATTTTACTGTGCTTGATCTATCTACGGCATATCAGCAGCTGGAATTGCATCCGCAGGCGCAGTCACTAGTCGTGGTCAACACACACTTGGGGTTGTTCAGGTACACGCGTTTACCCTATGGCATAACGAGTGCACCTTCGATATTTCAGGCAGTCATGGATGACGTGTTAAAAGGGCTGGATCGCGTAGCGTGCTATCTGGACGACGTGCTGGTAGCTGGAGCTACGTTTGATGAGTGTTTCCAAAAGGTGGAAAGTGTTCTGTCACGGTTTCAGGACAGGGGCATACGGTTAAAGAAAGAAAAATGCAGGTTCTTTCAAACGTCGGTCTCGTACGTGGGGCACGTTCTTGATGAAAAGGGCATACGCCCGTCAGATGAAAAAGTAAAGGCAATAATGGAGGCGCCGTCACCAAAGGATGAATCACAGTTGCGGGCCTACCTGGGGTTGCTTAACTTCTATGGGAAGTTCGTTCCTAACATAGCCGCCAAGCTAAGGCCTTTGTATGACGTAGGAAACCAGGAAAAAGGTTTCAACTGGTCACTTCAGGCAGAACAAGCATTTCAGCAAATAAAACGTGGCTAACGGGCGAGAATGTTTTGACATACTACGACCAACAAAAAGAGATTGGGCTTGTGTGTGACGCGTCAGCGTATGGCGTAGGCGCCATTCTGTTTCATAAGAATGGTAAAGATGAAAAGCCAATTGCATACGCGTCTAGGGCACTGAGCAAAGCAGAGCAAGGGTACGCTCACATCGAAAAAGAGGCTCTCGCTGTTGTCTATGGGCTCAAGAAATTTCACAAGTACCTGTTTGGGCGTAGTTTCGTCATTTATTCAGATCACCAGCCATTAGCTAGCCTTCTGGCGCACGGCAAACCTGTTCCAGTGATGTCAGCGGCACGCATGCAACGCTGGGCTTTGTTGCTAGCGGCATACGATTACAAATGGGTGTATCGTAAAGGCAGCGATATTGGAAACGCTGACGCGCTGTCGCGGTTGCCGTTGCCGAATGATAAGGATGTTTCAGATTATGTACATTTCTTCTCAGTTGTCGATGGACTTCCCTTGTCTGCTGACGCGATCCAAAAGGGAACGAGCACTGATAGGGTGTTATCGAAAGTGTTGATGTACACGAGGAGTGGCTGGCCTACGCGTGTAACGGACAGTGAATTGTCCCCGTACTTCGTCCGCCGGCATGAGCTGTCCGTAGATCAGCAGTGCGTTACGTGGGGAAATCGTGTGATTGTCCCTCGCCGCTTGCGCAAACAAGTTTTAGCGCTTATGCACGAAGGTCACCCCGGAGTTACGCGCATAAAAATGCTCGCGCGTAGCTATGTCTGGTGGCCTCAGTTAACACAAGACATTGAATGTGCTGTTAAAAGTTGCAGTACCTGTCAGTTGACGCAAAACGCTTCACCGAAGGCCCCACTACAAACTTGGGGTTGGCCGAGCCGCAGATGGCAACGAATCCACCTGGATTTCGCATTCACAGACAACCAGTGGCTTTTGGTGCTGGTGGATGTACACTCCAAATGGGTGGAGGTGTTCGTGATGAGTTCAACAACGGCAGAAAAGACTATGGAAAAGCTTCGGAGTGTGTTCGCGGCGTATGGCCTTCCGGAGGAGGTCGTTACGGACAACGGGCCGCAGTTCACTGCGAAGAACTTCACAGAGTTTCTGCTCAGGAACGGAGTGCGTCATACCAGGACACCTCCGTACCATCCGGCATCAAATGGAAGTGCTGAGAGATGCGTCCAGACGGTCAAACGGGATCTTCTGCGACAGCTTCTCGACGAAAACTCTTTGGGCGTCAGGAAGACCCTACAACACCGTATAGACCAGTTTCTATTCAGGTACCGGAACACCCCCACCACGACAACGGGGCAAACGCCTGCTGAACTGTTCCTGTCGTGGAAGCCCCGCACCCGCCTGACCCTGCTACAGCCAGATCTGGAGAGACGTATAGCAGATCGTTTCTTTAAGATCAAGAGCCAAGCTGACGACAGAAGAGGGCCGTGGAGGTCATTCGAAGAGGGCGAAAGAGTAATAGTTCAAGGCCTTCGTCCGGGGGAGGCAAAGTGGCTACCTGGGGTCATCGAAAGAAGGTGCAGTGCCGTTACGTACATTGTGCGTGTGGGACGCGGGACCAGGTTTGTGCATGCAGAAAATTTACGTCCTCGTTATTTTGAAAGTGACGAACAAGGGTCCCGGGAGCCTTCATGTGTGGTACCCAGTTCGATTCCAGACCGTGTGCCGGAGGCGTCTGCTACGAGTCCTCCTCTTCCTGCGTTGGAGTCTCCGAAAGCGGCTGCAGCACCGCCAGAGCCACCCGAAGACTCAGCCCCCTTGGGTCAGCGGAATGCAAGTCCCCGCCAAGGTTCCGCACCGCAGTCCCCTCTCCGAGAACCGGCCTCTCCTCAAGGGGCAGAGACTCTTCGACGCAGTGCTCGTGCGAGAAAACCTCCCGATTGGTACACGCCCTAACATTGAGTAAACAAAATTTCTGGGGAGGAGTGTAGTATCTTGCGAAGCGCATCGCGTATGACGTCACATTGATAGTGCGTCGCTTATCTCTATATAAGCGCTGGGAGCCGTATGCTCCGTGTTCTTTTGGTTACGCACTGGCGTGCTCTATAAACCGTCTACGTTGGTCGTCACTCTGGCTCTGCCTCGTCGCTCGCGGCTACAACAGAGTGCACCCTGCCCGTTTCAATCTGGATGAGCATCCTAACGGCGTGCGGTCGTGTATCACTTCTGCGTGAGGCACGTTGAAGACCCCAGGCTAGCAATTGTACTGCACTGGCTAAATTGCTCATCTACAGCTGGGGGACTGGTCGCCCGTTGAGGCAGACCAAGTTCTAGGCTGCATAAACAAAAACGCAACCCAGTTTTTTAGAGCGCAGCTCTTAGGGGCCCGTTCCCGGCTTGAGCGGCGTCGGCGTCGGCGTCGGCGTCGGCGTCGGCGTAACCGCAACCCTCGTAACCCTCGTGAGGGTTACGAGGGTTACGAGGGTTAATCTCATGAGGGTTACCCTCACGAGGATCACGAGGGCCACGAGGGTTACTTACCCTCTAAAGGGTTACCTTCACGAGGGTTACCCTCACGAGGGTTACTTACCCTTGTAACCCTCACGAGGGTTACGAGGGTTAGTAACCCTCGTGAGGGTAACCCCCGTGAAGGTAACCCTTTTGAGGGTTACGAGGGTTAGTAACCCTCGTGAGGATAACCTTCACGAGGGTTACCCTCACGAGGGTCACGAGGGCTATGAGAGTTACCCTCACGAGGGTTACTTACCCTCGTAACCCTCACGAGGGTTACGAGGGTTAGTAACCCTCGTGAGGGTAACCTTCACGAGGGTTATCCTCACGAGGGTCACGAGGGTTATGAGAGTTACCCTTACGAGGGTCACGAGAGTTACCCTCACGAGGGTCACGAGAGTTGCCCTCACAAGGGTTACTAGGGTTACCCTCACGAGGGTCACGATGGTTACCCAGGTCGTGACCCCCCCTGGGGTCACGTGACCTGGGGATACCCCCCGAGGTCACGTGACCCCCTGTTGACGTCATAGCCACTGATGATGTCATCATTGACGTCACTGATGACGTCACCGGCATCCGCATCGTCATCGTCATCATCACTGATGACGTCATTAGTGACGTCACTGATGACGTCACCGGCATCCGCATCGTCATCATCATCACTGATGGCGTCATCAGTGACGCTACTGATGACGTCATCGGTATCGTCACGTGGCCCCAGGTCACGTGACCCCCCGACGTCACGTGACGGCCCAGGGTCACGTGACTCCCACAAGGTCACGTGACCCCCAAGGTCACGTGACCCCCCGCCCCCCGAGGTCACTTGACCCACCCCCCAGTACCCTTCCCTCCTCCTCCTCAAGAGCTGCGCTCTAATTCGGCGTTACAGGGAGTTGTAAACGGCTTTCATTTTTTTTGTTTAAACACGTTGGGGTTTTAGGCTAAAGGCGAGCGCAATGCCGCAATTCCTCCCGTAGCGGCCGTTCCGGGAGCTGCAAGGCCACACGTTTCGGTTCAGGTCGAGTTGAGCAAGGACCAGTGGCGCCACCTCGCAGTGCCATTTCGCAGTAGCTACGTAAACTAATTTTCATGTGTTGACTCGTTGCTAAACGGGGCACTGTTATCGTATCCAGTTTGGTCTCGGTGGACGCGAGGGGTCCTAATGCGGTCCGGGTTTCAAGGGTGAGTTTCCTAACTTAGTATTTTAAAAACGTTTCAACGTGTATTCCACAACATCAAGTTTGCTAGTCTTAAAAAGCTTTTATTGTAAGCTCGTTCTGATCATGCGCTATAAGCAGCACTCACAAATATAACGTCCAGTGAATACTCCCTATTGGCGACGTACACGATCGAGAGCGTCGCTGTGGTTGGCCTTCCACGATTGGCTGAATGCTGACTTCGACGTCAGCAAAGGATTTCTCATCGGTGGAAATAAGAGGAATGTAAGAACTTCAATTTTTACGATGTTGGCAGTGTTGGTTTCAGAATGATTTCAAGCTTCCACCAAACTCATTACAAACACCATCGAACTTGTTGTTCGCAAGGTAATGACGTCACAAGAGGTATGCATAGATGATAGTTAGATGAATAGAGAGATGGGGTTTACTTGCGTGCCTGCAAACAGCCAAGTGTCCTGAGCACCAGTGCACTATCCTGTACACCAATGCATAAAAGTATATGATAAAAACACAATCAGGCGAAAAAATGCGGAAGCATAAAGGCCCGTTCACACTCTTGCGACCGAGTACGACTGAGAGAGACGAGATCTCTTACAACTTCTTAAATGTTTCTAGAATGAGGGAACACACTGACATTGTGGCGCCATCTATGCGGTGACCCTAGAACTGCATTTCACAAAAGCGAAGGTTTTGCGAGATTTCCGAGGTCAAATGTGCGTAATACCCATAGAAAGGCTCGTTTATAACATTCACAAAAGCTTTTCGAGCCAAAAAAGAAAGGATATTGCGCGAGAAATAAAAAAAAATATGCCGGACCGCCGAGCTTACACTGCTTCCCAATAGATGGCGCCAGTGTGTTCTCTGGTTTAAGAAGTTTTAAGGAACCCAGGTTTAAGAGGTCGCAAGCAGTCGCAAGAGTGTGAACGGGCCTGTTCTCTGGTTTAAGAAGTTTTAAGGAACCCAGGTTTAAGAGGTCGCAAGCAGTCGCAAGAGTGTGAACGGGCCGTAAGTGTCCAATGCAACGCCGCGGAGTGATCCGCGGAGTTTTGTGGCACGAGTAATGTTTTCGAGTTGTGGCAGAAGCACCGGCAACGATGCGGATGCTAGAGGCGACGGCATGCTCGTCGGTGGCGAGACGAGCAGAACCACCACCGACAATGTGGATGATGGAGACGACGCCATGTTGGTCAGCATCGTGGCAAGCAGAAGCCTCCAAGCGCGCGCCAACGTGTCCGTTTAACCGGCGCGGGGCCCGTAGTGGTATGGGGTTGCGGTGGTTAGTTTTATTGGCACGCTGGCGGCACGGACACGCAGGGTCATCTGGCGGCGGTCGTTGAAACTGACGCGTGCAGCGACCAATGGGAGCCTCGTCGTCGCGCGCCAGCCAATGGGACCCTTGGGATCAGGGAAACCAGGTGCCGTTTTCGCGCTTCAAAGTGATGACGCCGGTTCGCTCCATGGGACAGCTAATGCTTTCGCATTAAAACGGCGTCGTGAGTCTGTTGCAGAAGTCAGCAGCTGGGCATCAGCAGCTGGCTACAATCAAGAGAACCACGCACAATTTGACACAGGAAATGCATGTCTCTTGCAATTCGTCTATCGTGCAGAGGCACTAGACCGAGGTCAGTGAGCAGGGAATGGTAATTGTAGAAACGACGGCGGCCAATATATAGATCGTATAAAATTCGTATAAACTTACGCTGAAAGTTTTCAATAAGACTACTATGTAACATCGTTACAGAGTTCCAAACCACAGACGCGAACTCGAGGCGTGGTCTAACCAATGCAAACGACACTCAGAGCGACGATTTTTATTTTTTTTTTGTCAGCAGCGAAATTACATTTAGTTGGCGAAGTCCTTGACCAACAATGCGAGAGACGTGGAGGCGAAAATCCAATCTCGAGTTCACAAAGACATCAAAATCCCGTACATAGACAAGCCGCAGCACTTGCTCTTCAAATATAGTGTAGTGGAAGACTATGCTCCCCTTCTTCCTGGTAAGGGACATTAGTGCAGTCTTTTTTGGATTCAGTTGAAGTCTATTTGTTTAAGCACGAATGTTCAACGGAGCGGATGTCATTTTGTATCTGAATACAGTCATTCACAATGTCAACGACACGGAAAAATTTAATGTCATTGGCGAACATTAGCACTTTCGAGTTTCTGATGGAAGATCGTTAACAAATATCAAAAACAGGAGTGGTCCAAGGTTAGAACCTTGTGGTACGCCATATAAAGATGCAAATGTCTCCGATAGATAAATAAAAACATCTAACATAATTATGGCGATTTGAAAGGTAACTTTCAAACCATACGCAATGCAAGGTTCCATAGTCCGCATTCTTTTAATTTCAGCGAGAGTATCTGGTGGTCAACCTTATCGAAAGCCTTAGTCATGTCAAAGTAGACTGTGTCCACCTGACCACGGTTGCATACTGCAGGACCACTATGACCGAGGAAAGTAGCTAAATTTGTCCCCACTGATCTGCCTCTGAGGAAACCGTGTTGCAAAGGTAAAATTTTTTGTTTCAAATATGAGCACAAGTGTTCATACACCACCGTCTCAAAAACCTTTGAGAAGCCAAAAAGAAGAGACACAGGGCGGAAATTATTGACATTACAAGGATTTCCTGACTTGAAGTCTGGTATTACGACTGAAACTTTCCACTGAGAAGGATAAACCCCATACTGTAAAGACAGATTAAATGTAGGTGTCAGGATAGATATAAATATTTCAGCACATCCTTTGATAATAAAATTAGGATTGTCATCACAGCCAGTTGAAAGTTTTGATTTGAGCTTCCGTATCGAGCACCTCACCTCATTCTCGGTTAGATTGTGGTATGCTAAGAACTCAGCGAATTCCTCAAATTCGAAATCATTAGGAATACTGTCACGTTCCAAAAAGCAAAAGCTAAAGGGATCAGCAAATGCTTGGCTCACTTCTTGTGGCTTGCATTAAATCTTATCGTCAAATTTTAACACAGAAGCGCTGACACTATCCTTACTTTGGGCCGGAGCATAATTCCAAAAGCAACTTGGTTCTTTGCTAAAATTGTTTTCCAAACAGCTGTGATAACGAGATTTATCTCGAGAATAAAGCCTCTTAACTATTGCTCTGCAGACTGAAAACCTCTCATACCAATATTCACAATTTGACTTTTTATAGAGTTTGTGGTAACGCTGCTTTTTACACATATAATATTTCAGGACAGATGAAAACCACTTAGGAAATTTTTATTTCCTTGGACACTGTTTAGGTATAAATTCTCCTATAGCCCGCTAGACAGTTGATGTTACTAATTCGACACGAGAAATAACTTCCGAAAGGTGGAAGAGGCAAGCCCCGAAGACGATTGTATAGGCCGAGATAATCGCTACGCGTATAGATAAACTTCGGTAGTGAC